CTGTTCGCAGTCATCTCGTTATTTACTCCCTTTCTCACCATATCATCTTTCACACAGTCCATCCATCTCTTTTTCGGTCTTCCTCTACCCTTATAACCATCCACATTCATATGTAACACCGTCCTTAGGATATGATCTTCATTCCTACGCATTACATGCCCATACCACGATAGACGATTACTCTTTAACCTCTCTGACATCGGTGCCACTTTCATACTTCCTCTGATGTATTCATTCTTAATCTTGTCTATCCTCGTCACACCACACATCCATCTCAACATCTAAATATATAGGTATATATGTTTCAAAATTAGTTAGCATATCTTGGATGTCGCGCGGGATTTTTTCCGGTTTTCTTGTAAATATTCAGTAAATTATCAATAAAGACCAAGCGTTGAATATTATAAGCGGAACATTCGAAAAATATGTAATTTAAGGTCTGACTGCTGTTATTGCACTCTTGACATGCATTTGATTCAATTATTTTCATTCAGCACAAATGACTATTGAATCTAGCTGTTTTAGTATACAAATCTAAAAAAATATATCAAATAATTTTCCTTGAGTACATCTTTTAACGTACAAAATGTACTTAAAAATATTCACAACGGACGGACGCGACGCGTACATTACTTTGCTGCTTATTAATGTTTTATTATTTGTAGAAAAGATATTACCAACACAAAAGACCGTCCAACAAATAATGGGAAATTCGAGCCGCTTTATATGAGAGTTCATATCGGGCAGCGGCCATGTTGTGACGTAACTTATTTACAAAATGGCTGACAAGCCGTAATTATTCCGGATAACAGGCTACCCTACCCTAAGGGCTCTCTGGCCTCCTATTTCTATTCATGGGCCCAACTCGAGTTCCGTGAACACACCCTAATTATATTCTGCGGATAACTTTTTCGTGTAATCTTGAACAACTTGTGATGCCCTCTCAATAATAATACCTTTTTAACCTCGATTCAAAAGTCGACTGCCTTTTGTGCAAGTCAAATATTCATTTGAAGCATCATAGACCTATTTACTTATACTCTACGACCCCTTACAAATAAAAAATGTACCTATAATAAAATATTATAGTGGACATATATATATACTACTAGCTGGCTCGTGCGATTTCGTCTGCATCACACTTACTTGACATTTATCATAATATTTAGCCTAATTTACAATATATCTATTTAAATTATAGCCTATTAGTTTTCTGGTGTATAAGCTATATTACTGTAAAGTTTCTTGAAAATCCGTTCAGTAGTTTTTGCGTGAAATAGTAACAAACATCCATCCATACTCGCAAACTTTCGCGTTTCTAATATTAATAAGATATATTAAGTAGATTTGAGAATAATTGTTGGCAACACTGTTATTACTGGAAACAATGAACTATTGGTCAGTTATTTTAGAAAACCATGGTATTTCAAATTAAAAGAACCATCTAGAAGATACATTACAACTATTAATAGGCTTCGTATAGGACATGGGCATTTTCCGGTTCATTTGTATAAAATGAAATTGAAATCTTCTTCAAATTGTGACTACTACACAGCAGAAAACGCAGATCTACAACATATTATAATGAAATGTCCAGCATTTGGTTTTCAGAGACTTATTTTCATAGATAGCTTAATAAGTTTATATAATAAAAAGGAAGCACCCAGCCTCTTGCCACCTATCCTACAAAACACAGAAAGTTATCCATTTCTATAGGACTTCATACTCAATACTACAGCTAGGTACAGCTATAGCGTCCTTACTATAGCTGTACCTAGTAATTAATAGCTGATTTGTATTTGCACAATGTAATTGTTTGGCTGAAAGGAAATTTCCAGGGCCGTAAAATACTTAATAAAAAAAATATATATTGGTCAGTTATACAGTTATATATACGTATAAGTCATGTAGGCTATAAATTTCACGCAACTGAAATAGCGTGCAGCACTAGTAATATTATAAATGTTTTATGTATCAAAAATTGAAGGAACAAAAATAAAAATGGTAAATAATTTCGTACTTCGCCATGGCCTAAATAATTTCATACCTACCACATGCCAAATCGTCCCAACACGGTGATATCAAAAGGGAATTCTTTATTCAAAATAGATTTTTATCCCTTAGGAAATTGTTCTTATCCGACAGAGCAATGGGAATATTTCTGCTCTGCCCTCTTTCCGGACCTTTTAGGACCCTTTATCAATCTTAAAACGGCTTTCCCTTTCTCTTAACGAGACGCACTTGTCGTTTCCCCGGCCTCTTGTGTTTTTCTCCGAGTTTTCTGAGTATTTCCCTTTTTAAAGATATTAGGAATTTTTTTTTGCTTGCTTCATATTTCTACTCGTTTAATATAATCAAGCGAAATAATGATAGACCGTGAAAATAAATGGGTATCATCCTTAAAAATGTACAAACAAAATTATGAATGATGTTTTCGCAGCGAAAAAAGCAGTTCCTTTTCGACAGAAAAAAAACAGTATATACTAAACGTTATATTCTAGAATTTCAGCACTAGAATAATAATATAACTTTATTGAGCACAGAAAAATATTAACAAAAAAAAACTGCTAAAGAAAGTGCCTACATTATATAGTATAAAACAAAGTCGCTATCTGTCCGGCCCTATGTATGCTTAAATCTTTAAAACTATGCAACAGATTTTGAAGTGGTAAATAATTCATATAATAATAAAATAATATAGGGTAAATAATAAGGGGGGAATTCTAAATTGAATAGAATAGAAAATCATTTATTCAAATAAACTTACATTGAAGCACTTTTGAATAGTCATCACATTTTTTTTAATCTACTCATTCGGAAACCTGTCTCATCACAAGGAGAACGAGCAAGCAACTTCAATTAAATACTCAAATAGAAAAAATATTGAATATACAACCAACTGGTTAAACAATTAATAAGAAGAAATTAGTCATAGTGATTATAGCAGAGCAGTCCCTACAAGCAGCACCCGTTCACAAGTATGACGGATGAGCCAGCCATCACTGCGCTCAACCATATTTTAGGAAGCCCAATAGATATAGTGATTCAAGAGGAAGGTTTATATGTATAATGCATATACACCCGGGTGAAGCCGGGGCGAGTAGCTAGTAACGTATAAAGAAATCTCTACAATGCAACCTAACCCAAATACTTTGATAAATTGTATTTTATTACTTTAAAATAAAGAAAATATGACTCACAATTCCATATATGTCATTCTACAAATAATATTGGAGTGAAAATACAATCATTTTACAACAGAATAAGATATTAATTTTATTATATTTGACGGCCCCGGTAGTCCAGCGGCTTAGTACCGAACTTTACTCCCGATGGTCGCAGGTTCAATTCCTCGCAAGGTGCAAACTTATATTCTTGTATGTTTATATATATCTGGGTGTTTTCTATGTATATTATGTATGTATTTACAAAAATAATATATCTAATTATTTATAACAGTTTATAATTTATAATATTAAATTATAAACTATATTTGAATAAATGATTTTCTATTCTATAACAGTTGTCTAATACCCATAACACAAGCTCTGTTTAACTTGGAACTAGATGGCGTTGTGTGAATTGTTCAAAGACAGCATTATTATTAATGTTACATAGTATGAAACGAAATCTGCGATGTTGTCTGTTCGCTTATATCTTTTAAAATACGCGACGGATTTTCATGCAGTTCTCAGCAATAGATAGAATAATTCAAGAGGAAGGTTTAACGGCCTCCGTGATCTAGCGGTTTAGGACACCGCTTTAGTTCCTGTGGTCGGGTGTTCGATTTCACGCACGGCACAGATATTTGCATATGATTGTTTGTATCGATATGTTTGTTTTCTATATATATTATGTATGCATTTAGGAAAAAAGGATCTATTCACTTGTCTAGTACCCATGATACAAGCTCTGCTTAGCTCGGGACTAGATGGCGTTATGTGAATTGTCCTGGAATATTATATTATTATTATTATTTCCACAGTTTCACAATATACATATATCGGTTATTTTATTGTTATTATTATTATATAAATATAATAATAATATATCTCCCTTTTGACGGGAGTAATACTTTTTTTTTTATTAATAATGCGTTTGCGCTTGGTCTTACCTCATCTGATGGTAAATGATGGTAAGACCTAGGATCTAGGGCGCTTACCCAGTAGAGATCTATTACTATATACTATATACTTTCAAACACGCAGACCTTAGCCAAGCGTGGATGAGTTGATGAATGGTGATGAAGACAGAAATTTTCTTACAATACGGCATGTGTTGAGAATGACATCTATTTGTAATAGTTCTATTGTAGAGGAAGGGATCTGTTATTTTATATATTATTATTATTATTATACATATATACTATAATTATTATTATTATTATACATGCGTGTTATGGTATAAAAAAAGCTGAGATATTCAAACATTTGTAAATCATCAATGCAGCAATGAAGCCGAGGCGGGTCTGTAGTTATTATATAAATTTATATACATCAGAACAAAAAGGAGAGTATAAACAGCAACACACAACTATTGTTTATTTATTACAAAGCCCAAAAAGGTATAAAAGATAAATAAGTAAACCTTTTATTGTATTCGGACGTAATGCATTACATCAGCCGCATCAATACACCATGGACCTTTGATGGGATTCCGTTATAAAAGTCCCCATTCACCCGAGTCGCAGGTTTATATGGAACACGTGTGGTCCATTTTAAGTTCGATCGGCAACATACAGATACTATAAATCAATATTAAAACAGCTAGATGGGTTATAACATTGTCTGATTTCTCATAATAATATATAGTGATCGCCCAATAGTCTAAATAATACTTTATTGAATCTATACCTACATATAAATAAAATTGGTCTGTTTGTAATATTGAAATAACCGTTTTTTACTACACGCATCTAAATATCTAATATGTCGTATTCTTCCTTTCATTCTGAGCGCACGTATACAAGTTGTCATAGAAATTAATTACCTACCTTCATTATGGAAAAGTGTGATAAATGTAATAAATCAATAACAAAAAGAATCCCTGGTTTGGAGTGCAGTAGATGTGAAAAACTGGTTCATCTCAACACCTTGTGTTCAGGCCTTTCCAACAAACAGTTGACGGCAATACGCGCGTCAGAGAACCTAGAATGGACATGTCAAGAATGCCAAAGGTCAACATCTAAACGCAGTTCTATCGTAGTTCCTGACGATGACACTGATGAAGACGGAAACCAATTACTTAACACAGAAACAAACCAAATAAATATGAAGAAACTCCTACAAAACATTTCAAAAGAAGTGGAAAAGGCTGTTAGAAGAGAAATCAATGAACTACGTGTCTCTCTTCAATACCACAGTGAAAAGATGGATGAAGTAATGGAAGTCGCAGAAGCATGCAAACAAGCAGTTCAGGACATCCAACGTAAAAATATAGATTTAATAAATAGAAACAAGCATCTTGAAACCAGAATTAATGCAATGGAGCAAAGAATAGAAGAAATTGAACAACACCAAGTAGCTAGACACATTGAAATCTCAAATATTCCTTATACCGAACAAGAAAATATAAAAAACATCGTGGACAAGGTAGCAATATTACTAAAGCAACCGATAAGTGATATCAAGGCCGCTCGCAGATTGTCACGGAAGAGGGATTCTCCTGGCGTCGTACAGGTAGAACTTAAAGAAGAAGAAATGCAAGAAAGCTGGGTATCTGCTTCTAAAAACTGTAAAATATATACCTCCAATTTAATGCCGACTACGTCTCCAGCGGCTGCTCAAAATCGGATATTCGTACGTCCATTTTTAACAGCATACAACAAAAAACTACTATGGAGTACTAAACAATCACTAAACGGAACCTACAAATATATATGGAGCAAAAAGGGAAAAATATTTATACGGAAAGATGACAACTCTAAACCTGTTATACATATTCGAGGAGAAGCAGACATCAAGAAACTTTGTAACGTACCATAATATTAGATACTTATATAGATACCCTACAATATAGATATATATATATTAAAAACATCCAAAATGGATATTACAGAACTATTTAACTGCCATAGTATTGATCACTTCTTGAATTGCATTCCGACTAAGATTAACAATTTTATATGTATACATATAAATATACGATCTATAATAAAAAATTTTGCAATGTTAGAACAGTACATACTTAATAGTAAAACCTCTATAGACGTAGTAGTGCTAACAGAGGCAAATATATCAAATTCTGTTTGTTCTCTTTATGGTTTAGATGGCTATAATATGCACACAGAACTGCGAAACACACGTAAGGGAGGAGGTATAATAATCTATACTCATAAAAAACATACTTTTACAAGGGTTAAAATAAAAACATTCCAGTGCGAATCTATAATAGGTTATATAAAAACACCATCAAACTACGTCGCAGGTCTGTGCTCAATATACCGTCCACCTAATTATAGTAAACATTTGTTCATACACGAACTTCATAAACTCATAACATCACTAAATAACACTAACGATATGTATATATTAGGGGACATCAATATAGACACCGCACTCAATAACCCTACAAAACATAAATACATTAACATGATGTCAAGCTGCGGCCTTGAGCCCGGGATTTCAGATCATACACGAATCGAAACTTGTAATGACAAAACAAGCAGATCTTGCATAGATCACATCTTTGTAAAATCCCGAACTCAAGATATTTACTCCGCTGCTCTCAGTGTCGTACTGGCGGATCACCGCGCCGTAATAATGGCGAGCATAGGCCAACCACGTGTACAGAGTGTTCCAAAATATAAAGTTTTATACGATAATGAAAAACTTAAAAATATGCTTTGTGAACTAAATTGGGACACGATCGCTCAGAACCCATGTCCAATTACAATATATAATATCATTAAAAATAGTATTCATGAATGTTATAAAAATTCGAAAATATATAAAAAAATAAATATAAATTCTAATAGAAAAAATAATACATGGATAAATAAAAAAATTATAAATGCCTGTAACTATAAAGATACATTATATACGTTATGGAAAAAGGATAGTAATAATATGATATTAAAGCTAAAATATAATAAAGCTAGAAATTATGCTCATAAATTAGTACAAAAGGCTAAAAATAGTGAAATTATTAAATCTATCGACACTAACAAGAATAACTCTAAAAATTTATGGGATATATTAAACAGAATAACCGGTAGAATTAGAAAATCAGTTGATGAAATTATACTACAAGCATTTGAGAAAAATTTCATGAAAGCTAGTGATATTGCGAATAACTTTGCAAACACCTTTAACAATAGTGTAAAGTATATCATACCATCTTGTACAACAAAGCTTCTTGATCCCAAAATATATAAAAACCCCATCAACTTATCTATGCGCCTTAAAAAAGCAACAGCATGTGATGTTAATAAGATTATTAAATCAATTAATCCTAATAAAGCACCTGGCGTTGATTCCATAAGATTTAGTGACATATTGTTACTTAATGATAAGATATCTCCGGCGATATCACAACTAATTAACAATAGTGTAGCATCTGGATATTATCCTGATGAACTCAAAAAAGGGTTAGTCCGTCCTATCCACAAAAAAGGTCTAAAGGACAACTATGATAATTACCGACGTATTACTATTTTAACAGCAATAGATAAAATTATTGAAAAGTATATCAGTCAACGCATATACGATTTTTATAGTTCGAATAACTTATTAACAGAGAAACAGTTCGGGTTTCAACCACATAAGAACACAACACAATTGCTATCACAGTTTACAGACAGTGTGAATAAAAGCCTAAATCAACGCAAACATGTTCTTGTTGTTTTCATTGATTATAGTAGCGCATTTGACACCCTACGTCACGACGTGCTTATTGAAAGTTTACAGGATCACGGCATACGAGGACCACTCCTCGAATGGTGTCGAGACTATATGAACAATAGATCCTACTGCGTAAAAGTATGTGACGCTATCAGTGACACGATAAAGGTAACTGAAGGTACAGCTCAAGGTTCCGTCCTCGGGCCTCTTCATTACCTCACATATGTAAACAGTCTGGTCAATGTTATAAAGTCTTGTGAATTATACCAATATGCCGACGACACGTGTCTCGTGGCAGCTGACCATGATCTCTCAAATGCTCTCTATCGACTCCAAACAGACTTTACCTTGCTCTGCAAATGGTCCCACGATGTAGGTTTAGTTCTTAACGCTAGCAAAACGAAACTCATGTATATAAGTTCCAGTCACAATAGAAGTCAAATTCCATTTAACTTAATTGCACATGACCATGTATGTCTTCATAATAGCTCAAGTACCTCTACCTGTCATTGTCCCAAAATTGATGTGGTAGAAAAACAAACTTATCTAGGACTAATTATTGATAGTAGACTGAATTGGAGTGAACATATTAATTACGTATGCGGCAAACTACGATCCCTGCTCGCAAAATTTACACTAATAAACAATAAAACTCCATACTTTATACGTCTACTACTATATAAAGCCCTAGGAGAATCGATCATATCATATGGTCTTAGTAGCTATGGACGCACTTTTAAATCGCACTTGGACAAAATATATGAACTGCAGATAAGATTACTCAAAACAATAGTTCCTATTACCATTAAAAAACAATATAAATATAACTATCACGATCTGTTTACATACTGTAAACTGATATCCATACATAACAAAATAAAATATACTATACTGTGCGAACAATACTTTAAGACAGAGAATCAACAGATATCCAGACGAACGAACATAACCCGCGGTGTTACTAATAAAAAACTAGTACTCCCAAGGTTCAATAATTTCTACGGAAAAAGAACTTCGCATTACGTAACAGCTAAACTAATAAATAGTATGCCAACTAATCTTAAAACAGAATTAAATATAAAAAACATAAAATGGAAATTAAAACAATATTATACACCTACTTGTTAAATTATAATATGAATAACTAATAATATACACTATACATCTTTTTATGAATTGTGATATACATAAGTATTTGAAACATCCTATGTATATACGAAGTGAGTAAATCCAGACGTACACGACCGGTACTGATACCTACCCTCAATTATTTTACCTCAACTGAACTCACCACATACCCACTCAATTACTAATAATTGTTCAATTATTATTCTATATTGTATTGCTTGTTTACTAATCATAAAAGCATTTGTTGGCTGGTTTAAAAATAGTAAATTAAGTTGTAATAAGATTTGTATACCTGTCATAAAACTAGCAGATAAGTAATTATTGTATTATATACGGCCCTGTGTGCGCACAAAGCATTCATGCTTTTTAGTACACAGTCATAACTTTGTAAGTCATTGTTATCTTTAAATAAAATAAATAAATAAAAAATAAAAAAATCTAAATACGCATCTAACTCAAAGGTGACATAGTGATGTATCAACACACAGCCCAAACCAATGGACAGATCGGGCTGGAATTTGGAATGCAGGTAGATGTTATGACGTAGGCATCCGCTAAGAAAGGATTTTGATTAATTCTACCCCCAAGGGGATGAAAGTTTGTATGAAACTTTGTCAATTTTAAACCGATCGGGCTGAGACTTTGCATGCATAAAGCTACTATGACGTAGGCATCCCCTAAGAAAGGATTTTGATAAATTCCACCCCTAAGGGCATAAATAAACGCGAAAGAAAAAAGGCAAAAGCTAGTATGAATATAAATACGGTACATATAAAAAAACATTTTTTTAATATTTTTGTCTGTCTGTCTGTATGTCTGTTTGTTCCGACTAATCTCTTAAATAGCTGGACCGATTTTGACGGGATTCACGCGGACGAAATCGCGAGTACAGCTAGTTGTAAATAAAGTGGCTTTTAAAAAAAAAATCAATTGAGTTTCTTGCCAGTTCTTCTCAATTGGATCTATATACTGAACTGAACTGGACTCCCTACATTCCAGTTAAGTTACTTTATAATTTTAAAAAGTTAAAATTTCTAAAGTAAACAAATTGACGTTCATAAGCGGCTAAAATGTCCTACATGAATAAATGATTTTTGAATTTGAATATAACATTGTCTGTTTTCTCATAATAATATATAGTGATCGCCCAATAATAGGAATTCGACTATAATTAATTAATTTAATAAATAATAAATAAATAACCCTGGACAATTAATACAGCGCCATTTCGTTCCACGGTAAGGAGAGCTTGTGTTATGGGTACTAGACAACTGATGACAAAAAAATATCTAAGTAGCTACTTAGATATTTTTTTTGTAAATAAAACATAGTGTTCAGTATTCCGAACCTCCTTAGTCTAAGTAGGTTGTATCACCGGCTTGCTTACTGAACCAAAGGGTGCTCGGTAATACTGAACACATATAAAAACATGTGGACACTTAAACTTCGAAAAAATAATAAAAAAACAATTGAAAATAAGAACTGGAATAAAAAGGACGCTCCGTATTTTTAACTTTATAAAACAAGATAATTAATGATTTATTTAACATAAGATAAATGTTTTTATGAAAATATACACTCCAGAGCAAGGGTCTTCAACCCGCGGCTCGCGAGCTGCTTGCGGCCCGCCGATGTGTTTTCTGCGGCCCGCCAACATCATAGGCCCACTCTCAATAACGACAACAATTTAGTAATAAAAAGTACCTTTAATGGAAAATAAAAAAAATCCTTATAAAAATATCTATGATGATAAAAAATTTTTGGGCCCTTCATTTGTCAAACGTTGAAGACCGTTGCTCTAGAGTGCGTGGCCACTAAACAGTACTACACATCGGGACGTTCCTGAGCAAAGGTGAGTAAGTTTGGTGTTACATTGCTTACTTTGGGGTGTTCGGAGTGTGGAAGACGTTCTTCCAGGTCGAAATCGTACTTCTACTTCCTTTTCCATTAATTATTTTCTTATTTAAAAATACAGTCCACTCTCTATTTTCATTAATTCTTTATACGGATTCCTA